ATGGAAAGTATGTGATACATATTTTTTAAATTATTTTATTATTTGTTATAAAAATGTAATAATAAGTATTGACATAACTATTCTCTCGTGTTTTAATAGATCTCGTGTCACTTGATGTCCTTAAAATATTAATCTTCTACAATTCTGCAATATATTTATATTTCAGCATGCAATTAAAAAATATCAATTTTACTAATGATTAAATAATAATTGTATTACCTAATTATTGAAGCAGATGGTTTTACATGCAAACATTGCAATGCATATATTGCAATATTAGACACAGCACCTTTACATGAATGTTTCATAAACAAAAATATATATATGGATAGTAACAATGTTTTATTTACAAACGACAATGTAGATGTTAATGACGAATGTAAGTTCATTTATTTACACATCAGTATAATTTATTCAGTATAAAAGCCATTTTCTAATCTAATTTCAACTTCTACCCACACAGACATCCATCCATCCAGACATCCATTAGACATCTATTAGATGCCTTGACGAAAATGAGAAGTTTTATAAGCGTTTATTTGACGTTTTGTATGAGCGTTTTGCGGAAATTCGTTGAAAGTTTTGAAACGGTCAGTAGAGAATTCATAGGGCGGAAATTGCAACACTACAGCGTTTGAAAGGCGTTTCTGAAAGTTTGCATAGTGTTTACGTTAAGCGTAAGACAAAACAGAATAGTTTATTAAGTTAAATACATCTAAAAATTCAATAAAAGAATTTTTCGCGACTCGCGCTTTTACACAGCTAAGAGATTTCACTTGAATTAATTTTTGGAAGCCCGGTTCAGCTTGCCAATCAACTTATAAATTTCATTAAAAGGGACCGGACCTGTAAAAATCCTAAGATGATAGCGGGATTCGAACTCGAGACGCCTCCGTCGTATTCTCAAGCACCTGCACTCAGTCCTCAAGACTACTTGTTCCTTACTAAAATGATTATTTTTATCTACTTATTCTCACGTTATCTTACACTATTCATTTATTATTTCTTCAAAATATTATTTTATTAAAAATATTGTAGTGCAATGTACCTGCAATGAGTAAAAACATTTATCTCTCTTATTACTATTAAATATGATTTAAAGTACATTTTTACAACGCAACCAAATTTTAACACTGTGTCTCAAATAATGCTATATTTAAATCAAATATAGTCTGTTACATTTATGTTAAAAATTGATTTTTTCATTAAATAATTATTTAATGAAGAAAAAAACCTAATGAAACATTATTTCATTGAGATAAATTATTTCAAGCACTTATATTATTTTCTTCATATTATGATTTAGTATAACGTAACAATACAAAGTATCATTCAACAAAATTGTTGTTTGGTATAAAATTATGTTATTTGAATGCAACAAATATAAGTTAAACAAATCGGATTATTAACTTTAAAGAAACCGTTCTCTCTGTGTATAAACTTGTAAGCGTTTGTAAGTGTTTAATAATTGTT